TGCCATTCTAACTGGCATGAGATGGCATCTCATTGTGGTTTTGATTTCCATTTATCTAATGACCAGTGATGATGAACTCTCTTTCCATATGTTTGTTGGCTGCATAAATGTCTTTTTTTTGAGAAGTATCCGTTCATATCATTCGCCTACTTTTTGATGGGGTTGTTTGCTTTTTCTTGTACATTTGTTTAAGTGTTTAAGTTCATTGTAAATTGTGGATATTAACCCTTTGTCAGATGGGTAGACCGCAAAAATTTTCTCCCATTCTGTAGGTTGCCTGTTCACCATGATGATAGTTTCTTTTGCTGCCCTGAAGCTTTTCAGTTTAATTATATCTCATTTGTCAACTTACAAGAGATGTAAAGAACCTTTCTAAGAACTACAAACCACTGTTCAAGGAAATAAGAGATGACACAAAGAAATGGAAAAACATTTTATGCTCATGGACAGGAAGAATCAATTCGTAAAAATGGCCATATGCCCAAAGTAATTTATAGGTTCAATGCTATACCCATGAAGCTACTATTGACTTTCTCCACAGAATAAGAAAAAAAACTACTTTAAATTTCCTAAGGAGCAAAAAAGAGCCCATAGAGCCAAAAAAATTCTAAGCAAAAAGAACAAAGCTGGAGGCATCATGTTACCTGACTTCAAACTATACTACAAGGCTACGGTAATCAAAACAGCATGGTACTGGTACAAAAATGATATATAGACCAATGGAACAGAATAGAGGCCTCAGGAATAACACCATACATCTACAACAATTTGATCTTTGACAAACCTGATTAAAAACAAGCAATGGGGAAATGATTCCCTATTTAATAACTGGTGTTGAGAAAACTGGCTAGCCACATGCAGAAAACTCAAACTGGAAAACTTCCTTACACCTTATACAAAAATTAATTCAAGATGGATTAAAGATTTACACATAAGACCTAAATCTATAAAAACCCTAGAAGAAAACCTAGGCAATAACATTCAGAACATAGGCATGGACAAAGACTTCATGACTATAACACTGAAAACAATGGAAACAAAAGATCTGCTATTTTTATATTTGTTTTTTTATTTGTCGCATTCACTTTTGTACTTTTTTCTCTAGCTTCTCTAACTTATTTTGGATTAGTTGAACATTTTGCATAATTCCATTCTACATCCATTGCCTGTCACTCACAAATTACTGATGGCCAAATAACATACATAGGGTTTCCATAGGGAACATCTCAATTTTTATATTTTCTACAAATTACATAGTTGTTTTAATGAGTTTTGCCATTATGGGCTTTGCATACATAAATTCACTTATTTAGGGAAAATAATAAAAATAAACCATTTTAGATCATAGCTACTTTGCTACTTCCTGAACTGATATGGTTTGGCTGTGTCCCCACGGAAATCTCATCATGAATTGCAGTTTCCATAATTCCTGTGTGTCATGGGGGGACCTCATGAGAAGTAATTGAATTACAGAGGAAATATTGATAGTGAATGAGTCCTAATCAGATTTGATGGTTTTAAAATGGGTTTTCTCCCCTCACCCTTTCACTTTCACTCTTCTTGCAACCATGTAAAAAAGGATGTGTTTGCTTCCCCTTCCATATGATTGGAAGTTTCCTGAGTCCTCTCCAACCCTATGGAGTTGTGAGTGAATTATACTTCTTTCCTTTATAAATTTCTCAGTCTCAGATATATCTTTATCAGCAGCATGAGAATAGACTAATGCAGTAAATTGGTACTGAAAGTGGAACGCTGCTATAAAGATAACCAACAATGTGAATGCAACTTTAGAACTTGGTAAAGGTCAGCGGTTGAAACAGTTTGGAGGACTCAGAAAAAGATAAGAAATTGTGGAAAAGTTTGGAAATTCCTAGAGACTTGGAGGGTAAAACTTTAGACTTGGACTTTTGAGTTAATGCTGGAATGAGTTAAGGCTTTGGGGGACTGTTGGAAGGGCATGATTATGTTTTGAATTGTGAGGACATAAGATTTTGGAGGGGCCGGGGGTGAAATTATATGGTTTGACTGAGTCACCAGCCATATTTCTATTTAAATTATAGTTACCATAATCCCTATGTGTCATGGGAAGAACACGGTAGGAGGTAATTCAATCATAGGGATATTTACCTTCATGCGTTTCTCATGATAGTGAGTGAGTTCTCACAAAATCTGATGGTTTTATAATGAACTTTCCCCTCTTCACTCTCAGTCTTCTTCCTGCTGTCACATAAAGGAGGATGTGTTTGCTTCCACTTCCACCATGATCGCAAGTCTCCTGAGGCTTCCACAGCCCTGCAGAACTGCGCGTCAATTAAGCCTCTTTTTAAAAATAAATTAGCCGGTCTAGAGTGTGTTTTTATTAGAAATATGAGAACAGGTTAATACACCAAATAAAGCTGGTATTTTCTGCATTAATAAACCATTCAAGATCTTTTCTTCTTTATCAACCAAGAACTCTAAAGTAGAAAGATCCAAAAGTTCTGGTCAACATAATATGAAATTATAGGTAGAGAATATATTTAACTGTCAGTCACATGTGGTCACATCATGCTCTGAAATGAATGTTAAAATGAATATCACATTGGAGTCTATAATCAATTTTATTCTTTAACCCTTCAATAGAACACATTTCTTTACTCTCCACCCATACTTTACCTTACCTATCATGCCTCATCCAGGCCCTAATTATAACAATTTCGTCTTACCATGTGATACAATTTTATTACTAAAATAATATAGACAAATGATATTTAATTATACATTATTTTAAATTATTTCTGTCAGTGTAATTCTATTAAAGTTCCAAGAAATAAGCATATTTTAATATTTAATTTGTTTATTCAATATCTAGAATCTCAGTATCATAGCCTGTATTTCTAGATTACATCTCAACAGAGAATATTTAATATATAGTTTTCCAATTCATTAGGCAACCTTAAGGGTGGAAACATCTTAAAACGAAATATCCTTGGTATGAGATTAATAAATTAAGTAAACTTCAATTCTTTTATAAAGTAAATGTTGCATAGCAAAATTAGAGTATTAAGGAAAGATAAATATAGGCTTCTTGATCAAAGATAATAGATGGAAAATTACAAAGCAAACATTTTACTTCATCCAGACAGAAACAAATTGTTTTTCTAATTTTGTATTATGTTAACACATACTCTCTCTTCTATCTTTCCCCAAGGTACACATTTCCCACTGCTTACTTATATAGAAAATAGGTCAAAAATTTGGAATAATTCTAAAATGCTATGCACCATGCTTATTGATTCTTAAGATAGAATAAGTTTTCACTAATTCTAAATAAGTTTCTATGAGGCATAACAGAAATAAGCTCAGAGAATGCTTGCTGTCTCCCCAGGGATGCCATGTACAGATTTAGAGAAATTAAAATATGAAATATTGTTATATTTATTGGGTTTTTAGATTGCTAGATCTAATCGATGTAATAAACACACAAACACAAAAAACTTTAAACTGGCATGTTTTTTTTTTTTCTTTTCTCTTTCTATACATAGCTTTGGAACACATTACTTTGGAGAATCAGTTACAAAACATATCAAAAATTATCTATTATATACAAGAAACTGTCATATTCATTGGATACCCAGCAGTTAATAAAATAAGTCTTCACAACCTAGATAGGTTCTTGGAAACTGGAACTTTGAGCAAAACAATGTGTATAAAACCATTTTTAAATCAGTGTTATAACAAAATAACACTACATGATGACATGGTTTGGCTATGCCCTTCCCAAATCTCATCTTAAACGGTAATACTCCTAATCCCTATGTGTCCTGGGAGGAACCTTGTGGGAGGAACTCCATGGAAGGAGATTAGACTATGACTGAGTTCTCACAAGATCTGATGGTTTTATAAGGGGCTTTTCCCCTCTTAACTCTGTACCTCTCTCTTTGCCATGTAAAGAAGGCTGTGTTTCTTTCCCTTCTGTCATGTTTGTAAGTTTCCTGAGGCCTACCCAGTCATGTGGGGAATCAGTTAATGTTCTTTTATTTATTAATTACCGAGTCTCTGGCAGTTCTTCATAGAAGTGTGAGAATGAACTAACATACAGAAAAAATATTGTTTGAGAACCTTCTGTACATTCTTTTGCTTAAAGCCACAGTTTCCAAAAACCTATCAGCAATGTTAGTGAGAACATACTAAACAGTAGAAACATGTTCTCTTTAAAAATTTTATCCATCTTATTTTAAGCTCTATTTATGATTATTAGCTTTTACATTATAGATTTGATGTATACTTGGAGTAAGTGTAAATATAAGTATTTTTATCAAATAAAATTTTCCCATTGGTTGAAATATTGTCTGAAAATTAACATTCTGTAATTGACTCTAGAGACTATTACAACTTGTTTGCCAGGCACTCACACATGCTGTAAATTAAGGGACAAACAATTCTTTCCTCTTAGAAGCTCTTACTCCTGAATGAGAGAAAAACCATAAATATCAATACTAAAAATGCTTTTAGAAAGTAATACACTTCAAAAAATAAACAGAAAACAAAAGCTGTTTCATTAATTTAAAGAAACAGTGCATTTTATTTAGCGTGCCTGCTGAAGGGCACATGAGGAATAATTTATAGTCATTCAATTTATACAATTTTGCTTTGCATATTAGGTAATGATTAAGAAACATACTTAGAAAGTAATCCAGAGCCTATCCTATAATGATTGAAGGAACTTCAAGATCAAACAATTGTGAATGCCACTAGTTACCGTAGCAGATCATTTTGTGACATAGGAGATTTCACAATTTATATTTATGACAACTCTCAGATTTATGTTTAATGTGTTTATGTAAATGGCACTCCGTATTGAGAAAATGAATACTTACACACAAAAAAAGGTTATTTTAGCCTTTAATTATTTCTATCAACAATTTTTTGCAATGCATTGTTAACTAATTAATATAGAAGCAATACTGTATTTCTATCTTTACGGCAAATTGAAAGATGGTAATAGATGCACAGTGACAATGACATTATTATCTAAAGAAATATCTGTGAACAATAGTAAGTTTCATGGATTATACAAACGTGCTTAGTATCATCACAGAATAAAGAAAATATTAATTACATTTAAAAAATTGTTCATGATTTGCTTGCTTTGCTATTGTTTATATTTGAAAGCTTTCCATTCTTGTTGAAACCATATACATAGAATTAAGCATGATAGGTTTTTGATTTAAAATAACTCTAAAATTTCATTACAGCCTCATTCTCTACAATAGGCTGTGACAATAAGTAAGTGTTTTAGAGGATTTTTTATATCAATCGGAGGTTTTATATTTCAGAAAATAATATATGAAAATAAGTATTTTTAATGATACATTTTATGACAATAATTCAGCCAACCATTATGGCATGGCATTGGACATATGTTGTATTTTGCATTGGATAAGGGTGTAACAATATAAAGTCAACCATGTTGAACATAAATTACCATAGATGAAATTTCTAAGGAGAGAAAAGGTTTAAACTAAAACCTATGAGCTAGAGACAATTATTCTATTATACTGTGGTTTCCGGAATGGATGTATTATAGGGATGTGTGTGTGTGTGTCTGTGTGTGTGTGTGTCTGTGTCTGTGTCTGTAAAAACCGTTTTATTTTTCAAGGACAGGTGAGTTATACATAAATAACTGTCTTACTCAATGACTCAGAGGCAACACAAATTCAATTTCTATGGTATAAGTATAGGAATACTCTATGCGAGGGTCTGGGACCCAATCCAAAAAATGAAAGTACTATTATGTATCCATGGATATGAAAGTTATTATTCTCAGTCAATAGAACATAATTCAATATGCCCAGAATTTTAGTAGACAAAAAAGTTAAACATAAAACCATTAGTTTGGAGTAGTGATCATTTAACTTAAATATCAAATCATGTCCTTTGCAATTTGTTTAAAAGAATAAATTTATCACTGCTGCTAAAGTACAGTATACTGTTTACTACAGACTTCTTTGAAGAAAACAAAGACACAGGTTTAATATATATTCATACTGTAGAGTGATTTCCTATTGCAAATGACTGGAAAACACTTCTAGCATCGTAATGTTCCTGTGCTTACGGGCTCTTCTGTTGTTCAATGTGTCTAGAGCAATAAAATCAACTTGTAAGCTTTGCCTCAGCAGCTGAGCACTGCATGCATTCAGGTCATTATGGCAGTGGGGTGCTTGGTTGGAAAATGGTGTATAAATAACTGGTAACATGCACGAAGTCTGATTTTACTGGCCAGTTACTATTTTTAGGCTACCCTTGCATTTGAAAAGATTTATGCTCCTGAGGAATTGAATGTAAAAGCATGAATGCTAACTCCACTCTGACAACACAAAAGCCATTCTTAGGAAATGATTGTTTTAGAAATGACTTTTGAAAATCAAAGTAGTTCTTTTATTAATAAAACTATACTCTACATTTTGTTAAATATTACTATGGGAACATTTAATAAAATTCACCCAAAATACGAATCTCAGGGCAAGACAACACTAGTTTTGCATTAATATTGCATGCTATTTACTAGTGCTGTACTTTTGATGTACTGTACTCTACCACTTTAAAAATTTTTACTTCATCATTTAAAATACTTTACTTTTAATGCATACATACTGTCATTACTTCTCTCTCTTCTTCCCTCCTTGTTTTCTCCCCTTCTGTCTCACACACACAAACTTCCCATGAACATATGCAATACTTTCAACAAATAATATGCAGTTCAAATAGTTATACACATATACGCTTATATTTACTATTTGCGACTTTTTCCAATTGTATTTCACATTCTACAAAGCAACACTGTCATGCTTCTAAACTAACTTTTTAGCTCTGTTAATTAAGTAAAAAGAAATAAGCTTATTTTGTCAATTAGTAGCATATACTTTGTATCATCTATAACTACATACTTTAAAGTTTTCTTAAGAAGCAAAGAAAGCGGAGACTGCGGCGGCCGCAGGGCGCGGACGGCCGTATTTGCCTGCGCAGCCCGAGCCGCCGCCAACAAAAAGTTCGCGTGCGCTCGGCGGGTGCTCGGACCTGCAAGGGGCCGCCGGGTCCGGCCACCGCCGCCGCTGCCCTCGCGGCCCGGACTCGCCGCGCCCGCCGCCCGGGGTGATATCTTACAAACCGAACTTGGCCGCGCACAGGCCCGCCACCGCCCTCCACGCCGCTGGGAGTGTCCACTCGCCGTCCACCAGCGTGGCGACGTCTTCACAGTACCGCCAGCTGCTCAGTGACCACGGGCCACCGTCCCCAGGCTATACCCAGGGACCTGGGAATAGCAGGTGCCCCAAAGCAAACACGCGGGCTGCTGGCCATCACTGAAGAGCTGGGGAAGGGGATCAGGCCCACGTCCGCGGGCAGCAAGAGCGCCATGGAGAGGCTGAAGCCTGCATCGTTCACGCTGGAGGCCTGGCTCGGGAGGGCTCGGCACAAACGGAACGGAATGCCAGATCCTAGCTTCCCTGTTGGTTTTGAAGGATTCCCGTCTTTTTACAGGATGAGAAGTTACAGTTCATCTCCCCTGTTCAGATGAAACCCTTGTTTTCAAAATGGTTACAGTTCAGTTTTTCCTCCCATGGTTCACTTGGGTCTGAACCTACAGTCTCAAAGATTGAGAAAAGATTTTGCAGTGAATTAGGATTTGCAATTTAAGTAGTTAGGAACTGCCCAGGTTTTTTTGGTTTGTTTTTTGTTTTTAAGCATTGATTTAAAAGATGCTCCTAAAGTTATCTTACAGCAAACTAGTTTGCCTCCAAGACACCATTGTCTCCCTTTAATCTTCTCTTTTGAATACATTTGTTACTCACAGTGTYCTTTGTTCCTTTTCATAAGCTAATACCACTCTAGGGATTTYGTTTTTAATGCATATTGACAGCACACTTTACTTAGTAGCTGGTTCTCATTTGCCATACAGTGTAGATTCTGCTGAATGTAACTTCTTTTTTGCTTAAGCATTTGCATGACTATTAGTGCTTCAAAGTCAGTTTTTAAAAATGCACAAGTTCTAAATACAGAAGAAAAAGCAACCCACCAAACCCAACAAGGACCCCCGAACATTTTCATACTAAGACTGTAAGTAGATCTCAGTTCCTCGTTTATTGTAAGTTGATCAAAACATCTGGAAGAAAATGACTAAAACTGTTTTCATTTTTGTATGTACTTATTACTTGATGTAATAAAGCTTATTTTCATTAAGAAAAAAAAGTAAAGAAAGCATGTGGTGTAACTGTACTTATCTATTATTTGTAGCATTTTCTAGGCTTAGAGCATCTAGGATTTGATAAATATTAACATGAGATCATTGAGGCACCTAAGTTAAATTCATATGTATAAAAATGCAAATGCTATATACATATATATGTCATAACAGAATTAATGATTTTCTTAATTCTAGTATGATAGACTTATGGTACTTTATTTTGGCCATTCCTTCGATGATTGATAGATGATGTTGACTAATGCTACTTCTGTTACTAGCTACATATTTTAGCATCTACTGCATGAAGGATGCCAATCCAACTGTTCACAAAATAATTTCTAATTGTCAGACCAACTGTAAATGTTATGTAATAGTATCCAAATGTGGAGGACACTGTAGTTCAAGGGCAATAAGCTTGATCTGTATTCACAGAACTACCAGGTTAGTGAGCCAGGATTGTAATGCAAGTCTTTATGGCCCTAAACCCATGCTATTTTAAAAATTGCCATGCTATCAAAGGTTGATTTAATTTGATTTATACTTTTAAATAATTTTATAATCCATCTGAAACCTGATCACAATCACTCATCATTATCTCTTACAGTGGACAAAATGCATTTTCAAAACTAGCCAAAACCATATAATAATGAGCATTTATGACTCATGTTGGCCATTGAGTACTACAAAGATGAATATGGAAAGATCCATGCACAAATAAACACACTGAAAATTTTAATGAATAGTGGCCATGTATATTAATATATATATATAGAAAGAGATTCATAAATGCTATAAAGGAGAAATTAATTCTGATGTGCATTCTGACAAGATTTATAAGATGATTAGTTTACAAATGAGTAAAACCTCAATACATGATGTGGTTACAAGAGAGGAAAACATAAATATTTTAAGCAAAGACACTAAAGTTCAAAAACAGACTTAAAATGGCAGTTGTGGTTGGAGCAAAGTTTTGCTTGTTTTGCTTTGCAGAGATGTTTGTTGTAAGTTGCAATAGTAATACCGTGATAAAACTTTAAATTCATCTTTTCTTCTTTCCTCTTTCTTCTGAAAATACTGATGATGATGACTACATATATTATTAAAATTATATATTCCATAATATAAACCCACTTTCATACATACTTTAGGTTATGTTTATAATGGAATAATAACTTAGTATTTAAAAACTACTTTATGGCCTATTGACTACTGTTGTCATTGAAACGGCCTGAACTCTGAAAATAATTTGATTTGATTTTTGGAAACTTTAAGAAAGAATTAAACTTGTCAGAAAAATAAACCTATGAAAAAATGTGAAAATATATAGATTGTTTATTAACTATTGACTGCTACCTGCTATATATTCTCTTAGCATTCCGTATCTGCCTTTAATATAAAATGTATGCAACTCCAATTATAATTATTTAATTTACATTTTTGTTGCTCCCTCAAAATGTAATCTCATTCATAACCACCATTCCACATGTTTCCTTTCTTTAGATTACTAGGCCCAAATGCAATATCCACCATAGTTTTATATCTTTAAAAGATATAAGATTGATGCATGTTTGATGTCTTGTTAAATTAAGAGAGAATAATAGTTTCTCTGAAAGCAAAAGTATTATCACATTTTCTACAGAAATATAATCCACATATATATGACTCTAAACCAATTACATCTGTTCTATGAAATATCTTATTTGCTGTTTTTAATGCGCAAAAATTATTTCAAAATGGCTTGTTATAGGAATATATTATTGTAGAGAAATATGCACACCTCCTTTGCATAAATGTCTACAGAAAAAATTGGGAGCATTCTAGTTTGAAAAAAGACACATAAATCATTTACCACTGTTAAAAGAAGTATAATAAGATTAACATGATGGAAATGTCACAGAACCCAGCAACTTTAAAAATATCACAGAGGCCAGATGCAGTGGCTCACGCCTGTAATACCAGCACTTTGGAAGGCCAAGGCGGGCAGATCACGAAGTCAAGAGATAGAGATTATCCTGGCCAACATAGAGAAACCCCATCTCTATTAAAAATACAAAAATTAGCTGGGCATGAGTGCCTGTAGTCTCAGCTACTTGGGAGGCTGAGGCAGGAGAATTGCTTGAAACCGGGAGGTGGATATTGCAGTTACCCTGCACCTTGCCACTGAACATCCAGCCTGGGTGACAGAGCAAGACTCCATCTAAAAAATAATAATAATTAAATAAAAAATTTAAAAATCACTAAGAAATTTCAGAATATTAATATACCACTAATGAAATGATCTGTCATGAAATTATTTGCAGAAATTTGATTATTCCATATTTTAGGTCCATGAAATATAGTTTAAAAATCCTTACTTTTTTTCCTATAACCCATAAAACAAAAAGAATGAAAGTTTGTAGTAGGTATATGCTGAAAATATTTCAGTGTCAGGATGTGCTTGTGCTATAATCCCTAGCCTGATTTATCATAAAAATATTGCAATTCAATTATTTTTGCAGTTATGGTGCAGGAGAGATGGAGAATTAACAAGATCCTCTGATTTTGTATGTTACGAGCTTCCTAAAGTAACTGAAATTTTCCCAATCAATGCCTAGACCTCCCTGATATTTAAACATTTT